GCCGGCCGGGCACCATGACCATGCCCTCGTGTCCAGGCCTCGCCGGCCGGTCACCGTGGCCGTGCCCTCGTGTCCAGGCCTCGCCGGCCGGGCACTATGGCCATGCCCTCGTGTCCAGGCTGCTCAGTTCCTTTCTGCAGAAGTGCCCTGCCCTGCGCTCCGCTCAGGGCTGAAAGGAAAACGGAATAAATATAGTTCTTGCCCCCCAGGTGCTTAGAGCAGGCGAGTGCGTGGCAGAAGGGATGCTGGGAACTGCCCTGATAAGAGACAGGTGGGGTGCGTAGAGGCGGGACAGGGCGCAGGACCTCCCTGCAGGGAGGAGCCCCCAGACGGGCGGCTTCCTGGACAGTGCCCCCAAGGCAGGCGGGGCGGCGGCCAACTCGGCGGCCGGGCGGGGCCGGGGCAGCGTCAGCGTCCTAAGGACAGGACACCTGGTCCCGGTGGTGCTGGGGAGCCACGGAAGGTGCCGGACGAGCAGGGATGTGGCGAGTTGGCGTGGAACGGCCTTTGAGGAGGCCGGGCTGGGGGACCTGCCGCGCGCCGCCGACGACCCCCAGGGCCCACTTCTTCCCGCAGGAAACATCGTGGGGATCGGACAGTGCCTGCTGCACGGCATGACCGTGGTCATCCGGAAGAAGTTCTCGGCCTCCCGGTTCTGGGACGACTGCATCAAGTACGAGTGCACCGTAAGTGAGGGGCCGCCTGCCCCCCGCCACCCTCGGCCGGCCGGCCGTGCACTGGGCAGCGTCCCTCGCACGGTGCGGACGGGGCGCGGAGGGCGGGTGCGGGACAGCCCCACAGCTGGCCGCGGGGGGCGGCACCGGGGGGCGGGGCGGTGCAGGTGGGGCAGCGCGAGCAGCCCCGGGCCCCCCTCACGCCAGTCGGCCCCAGATCGTGCAGTACATCGGGGAGCTGTGCCGCTACCTCCTGAACCAGCCCCCGCGGGAGGCGGAGAGGCAGCACCGCGTGCGCATGGCGCTGGGCAACGGGCTCCGGCAGTCCATCTGGGCCGACTTCGCCGGCCGCTTCCGGATCCCCCAGGTGGCCGAGTTCTACGGGGCCACCGAGTGCAACTGCAGCCTGGGCAACTTCGACAGCCAGGTGCGCCGGCCGGCCGGGCCGCGGGGCTGTGGCAGCCGGGGCCAAAGCCCTCGCCCCCCCGGGGCCCAGGTGCAAGTCTCGGTCCTTCCAGGTGGGGGCCTGTGGCTTCAACAGCCGCATCCTGTCTTTCGTGTACCCCATCCGACTGGTGCGTGTCAACGAGGACACCATGGAGCTGATCCGGGGCCCCGATGGCGTCTGCGTCCCCTGCCAACCAGGTCTGCCCCTCGGCCGGGGTCGGGGGTCCAGGTGGAGGGTTGGCCCAGGAGGGAGGTGGGCAGGGGAGACGGCGGGGAGCCCTGTCCTGGCTAGTGGCCGCCAGGAAGCCCTTCTGCGGGTGTCCTGTGTTTCTTCATTTCCCCTCCCTCCGTCCCCACACTCACCGTCCGTCACTCACTGCTCCCTCCACTCCCGCCTCCCTTCACCCCCCATCTACCCGTGTACCCCCCACCCACCCTCCGACCATCCCTCCCAGCCATTCATTGGTTCATTCACTCGTGTGGAGGTGCTGGTGACCCTGGCCTACCCCCCAGCGCTCTCCCCCCTGCCTGAGCCCCTCCTCTGCAAACGGGCTGACGGCTGCACTGCTCAGGGGCGCTTGGAGCACGCGTGTGCAGAGGCCCAGCTCTGTGGGCGGCGCAGAGGCTGGCTGCTGGCCTCGGCTCGGCTGCCCTGGGGAGCAGCCCCTCATTTCCCAGCGTGTCTGTCCACGACTCAGGCTAGACCGGTGTCAGACCTGCCCTTGGGCGCTGGAGGGAGAAGCACCGTAAGCTGTCAGGTCAGGGTGCAGGCAGCATGTAGGGCAGTGGGAGACAGGTCTCCCGGGGACGCCCGACATGCCGCCCCGCCCCCAGGCGAGCCGGGCCAGCTGGTGGGCCGCATCATCCAGAAGGACCCCCTGCGGCGCTTCGACGGCTACCTCAACCAGGGCGCCAACAGCAAGAAGATCGCCAGAGACGTCTTCAAGAAGGGGGACCAGGCCTACCTCACCGGTGGGTGGGCCCCCCGCCCCGGGCCTTGGGGGGTGCCGCAGGGTGGCGGGACGGAGGGGAGCAGAGGGACTTCCCTGCCTGGAGAGAAGCGCTCCCAGGACCCCAGCCAGCCCTGCCTGCCGCCTCCTTAGGCGACGTGCTGGTGATGGACGAGCTGGGCTACCTGTACTTCCGAGACCGCACAGGGGACACCTTCCGCTGGAAAGGCGAGAACGTGTCCACCACCGAGGTGGAAGGCACACTCAGCCGCCTGCTGGACATGGCCGACGTGGCGGTATATGGCGTCGAGGTGCCAGGTATGGGTGGGAGGTGCCAGGTGTGGGGGGAGGAGGTGCCAGGTATCTGGGGGAGAAGGACAGTCCACCAAGGCAGTGCAGACCCTTACCTCCATCCTGCTGTCCCCAGGAACTGAGGGCCGGGCCGGAATGGCTGCTGTGGCCAACCCCACTGGCCAGTGTGACCTGGAGCACTTTGCGAAGCTTCTGGAGAAGGAGCTGCCCCTCTACGCCCGCCCTATCTTCCTGCGCTTCCTGCCTGAGCTGCATAAAACAGGTCCACCCACCCCTGTCCAGCCAGCCAGCCCTCCCGCTGCTTTCTTAATAGACCTGGGGGTTGTCACTTGACTGCACCACAGCCTCACTGGCCTGTTGGTAAAGCGGCCTCCCCGGGCAGTGAGCAGCCAGGCCCCTGGAGAGAAGGCCGCCTGCTCGCTAGTCAGACAAGAGTAGCTACTGGGCCTCCTGTGTCCCAGGCACTGTGCTAGGCACGAGGAAAGACAGACATGCTCACAGGCCCTGGCCTTTCTGGAGCTTCTAGAGCCTGGGCAGGTATGGCACAGGACAGCTCCGGACTAGAGAGTATTGAGTGAAGCATTGCTGGAGGTGATGGGGTGGTGCTCCCTGAGGAGGGGTGTGTAAGCTGAGCTCTGAATGAGAGGGAAGCGCTGGGGCTGTGGAAACAGCCAGTGCAGAGCCCCTGAGGCCGGAGGGGTCAGGAGCTAGAGACTAGAAGGAGGCCCCAGGCAAAGCAGGTGCAAGGGGTTGGTTTTATTTGGGGGACAGGGAAGCCAGCAGGGGCCTGTCCTGGGCTACAGTGTTAGAGCCTAGACTAGCATTCTGCAAAGTGGTCTGGCTGCTGCCTGGAGAGGGAGAGGAAGAAGACTGCAGGCCCCAGGGGAGGGGGCCGGGCTGTCACCGTCAGCCCAGGAGAGGGGGTGGGTCTGCTGGCTTTGGCAGTGTGGTCCTGGCCGAGGGCTTGCCGGTGCCTCCTGGGGGCTCCCAGGGAGCAGGAAGTGCTGCACCCGCTCTCTTCAGCCCTGGCGGCTCCTGCCTGGCCCCTGGGAGCCCTTGAAGGAGGGGCGGGAGCTGGCAGGGACACTGGGACGAGGCTCGTGACCGCAGTGACCGAGACCGCAGGCCCCTGAGGGTTGTGATTTCCTGGCCCCTGAGGGTTGTGATTTCCTGGCCCCTGAGGGTTGTGATTTCCTGTCCAGGAGGGGCAGGGAAGCTGTCAGACCTCACGGGGTGTGGGGCAGCCATTAGGGCCCTGCTCAGCCGAGTGACTCTTGTGTGGGCCCGACTGGATTGCCGCTGTCACTCGGGGATCTGCCTGGGCCTCGGCGGCCTCATTTGCCATTGGTCCCAGCTGCCCAGCAGAACCTTCCGCTGTGGAGACGTGTGCTCCACGGCCGTGCAGCCGCGGCGGCCCCATGGCTCCGGGTGTGCAGCTCTGCCGTGGTCTCTTTGCCACAGCTCCTTGCAAGGCCAAACCAGCCCCGGGGCTTGAAAGGCCCCAGGGCCGCCGGAAAGGAGAGGCAGGCTCACCTGGTGGCGGGCCATGGGTCTAACCCTCCCCCCAGAAGGGCTCTGCCCCCCACCGCAGGCCCTCTGCATCGCCCCAGCTCTCCTCCCCGTGCGGTGAGGGCCCTGGGTGCTGGGCCCTGCGTTCACTGAGGCCTCTCCCACTGCTCCTTGCACCCTCAGGGACCTACAAGCTACAGAAGACAGAGCTGCGGAAGGAGGGTTTTGACCCCGCGGTCGTGAAAGACCCGCTGTTCTACCTGGACGCCCGGAAGGGCCGCTACGTCCCCCTGGAACGCGACGCTTACGCCCGGATCCAGGCTGGTGAAGAGAAGCTGTGATTTGCCCGTCTCTGAGGGCCGGCGGATGCTGGATCCAGAGCCCCAGCTCCCACCCCAGAGGGCTCCCGGGCGACGCCAGACCAAAGCGAGCAGGGCCCAGCACCTTGAGGTGCCGACCCCTCCCCCCAAAACTGCCAAGTGACTCACTGCCGCCTCTCCCTGCGCCCCCCTCAGAGGCTTTCTGTGAAAGCCCCACATCCAAGGCCCCTGCGCCCCAGGCTGAGACTGACTGGGCCTTTCAGGATGATGTCTTGCGTCAGGGCAGGGGAGGTGGAGGGTCGCCGAGCTCTCCCCAGGGAGTGAGGCCCCTGTAATTGGGACCGGCGGAAGCCCCAGACTCAGGAAGCCAGCAGAGTGGGCAGGGGCCCCTGGTCAGGCGGCCAGAGAGGAACCTGACTCCGGAGCTGCTCAAGTGCCGCTCAGCCCTGGCCGCCCCAGAGCGGGGGCCCTGCCCTTCAGCAGGGGGCCCACAGACACCCCCCCGCCGCATCCTCCTCTCCCTGGTAGCTGCCCGGCTGTCTCTGGTCTTGTCTGTGTCACCTCCGTCAGTCCTGGCCTGGCTATGAGGGAAGGAGGGGTGGGGGCGCTCAGGGGCCAATAAACCGCTGCCTGACTCCCTGCCTGTGTGCATGCCGTGGGCTCCCCCAGCCTGCTCAGGCCCCACCTCCAGCCGTCAGCTGACTCATCCATTGTTCACTTGGACTTGGGGATTGGCTGCAGGTAAGAGGCCGCAGCCCAGCCTGCAGTGTGGGGTCTGGCTGGGGCAGCCCCCCAGAGTCTGCAAGGTGTGAGGATTCCACCTGCAGTGTCACCAAGGAGCTGTGGCCTTGGGCTGCAGGCCGCCTCTGCAGGCCAGGCCTGCAGACCCAGGGAGCTGTCAGGAGGAAAGGGCAGGTCAGAGCCCTGGGGGGATCCCTAAGCCCCATCGCCAGACCCCTGCACTGCTGGTGCCTCGGTGTGGGCATGTGACAGCCAGAGCGGGGTGGCAAGCCAGCTGGCCCGGCTCGGAGCTGGCAGCACCCGCGGCCCACTGGGAAGGGGCCTGACACAGCCCTGGGCAGGGTCTCTGCTTTATCTTCACTGCAAGCCCTCACACAGTCTTGGCACAGTGAGTCGCCAGGGCTGGAATGCCAGCCCAGCTCCATGCCCTGCCCACACTGCCCTACCCACTCCTTGGCCCTGGAGCCGCCTAGGCCCTGGAGCGTGGCCCTGGAGCCGAGCGGAGGCAGCAGGGAAGTCTGCTTCCATTCCACACATGCTTGTGGAGCCAGCTGGGGGCCACACCCTGGGCCAGCAGCTGACAGTTTGGGTGGAGGTGGCCGGGACTGCAGATCTCGGTGCCTCCTGGGACAATGATTTTGAAAGCCCAGTTTGAAGCCTCTTTGGGGAGGAAGTGGGGTTCGGGGTTGCAAGTGGAGTTGGGCCCTTGCAGGGGAGGGAAGTGAGGCGCATCTGTAGTGTCCGAGTGTGGCCAGCAGAGGGCGCGTGGAGCTTGGCGAATCCCTTCTTGGCCAGGGACGGGGGGAAAGGAGGGGGAGACCCGTCTCACTCCCAAGCAAGAACCCAGCCCAGAGGGGCCCCCACCTCGTGGGCTTCGAGGGCCTTCCTTAACCTCCCTAGGAACTGGAATTGGCAGATCACGTGGCTCTGTGTCTTAAACTGGGAAGTGAGTGTTGGCCAATGGGAAGCAGCCCCCCCCCTTCCTTAATCCTGGTTAAACAGGCGCCACGGGGCAGCACAAATAGTGGCTCACACCTCCCAGTCAGGAGCCCAACAAGCTTGGGCTCAAGTCCATTTGTCCTGCTGAACGTGTTTCCTGTCCTGTAACTGGTCTTGGAATCCCTGGCCTGGGGTGGTTTTGAATCAGGTAGTGCAGACCGCTCAGCTCAGCATATGGTTGCAGAGATGAGATACTCAGGGGTTGAGACCCCAGGCCAGAACTGAGTGCACTTCTTGCCTTGGTGGCCCCGCCTACGGCCCCCCAGGAAGGCTGAGACCAGTGGGCCTCCTCCATCCCAGCCAGCCCGTAGCGTCTCCTTGCATGCCATGGGTGCTCCTGAAGTTAACAGCTGCTGTTTGTGGGCATTACTGATGTTGGTCATGCTTTGGGGCTTGCAGAGCACTGTGGGAGATTACTCTGTTGAGTCTACTCTGACTGGGCCCTGCAAAGGTGGCTCAAGCAGCCCACCTTTGGAGCTGAGAACAGGGATGGGGAAGTAGGGGCGGGTTTGCTGGTCTGGGGGGGCCTTTCAAGGACCAGTTCTCCAAAAACAGAAAGGGTAAGGTGTTCTAGACAGGAGCAGCTAAAATCGAGGCCTGGAGGTGTCAAGGGGAGCTTAAATCACAGTGGGCCCCGAGGGGGGTCTAGAGTTGCAAGATGTGGGAAGTGGCCCCTCGGCACCAGGGACTTGCACACCTCGAGTCTCTGCGCTCTGCCCGGCTATCCCCGTGTTGGGCCAAACCTGCTTCACTGGAGTTCCCAAGGGGCCCAGGGAAGCCTGCACCCCGGCACTTATGGGGCACCGCTTCGCGAAGTCTGTAACCACGCAGCTGTTATTTATGCCCATTCCACAGATGAGTAACTGAGGCTCGGGGAGGCAGGCCCCAAAGCCCAGTCTGAAAGCAGCTTCGGGTGCAAGTCCTGGCTGGAGCCTCAGCACCCCCACCTGCCCCCTGTGCCCACAGGCTGGAAGGAGCCAGCCCCCGGCGTCCCCGGAGGTCCCACCGCCCGGGCTGGGCAGGAGGCCGCGCAGGCCAGTGCTTGGCGTATCACTTTCAGTTCCTGGGAAGAAGGTTAAATACCTCCGAGGGGCCCATTGAGGCGGTGGCAGCCAAGTGACTTTCAAAGGGGCCTGAGTGCGCGGCCAGCCCCTCCCCGCGAGCCCAGGCCCCGCTTCCTCCAGGCCTAATGACATTCTGGGCTCAGCCCTCGTCTTTGGCGGCAGTTTAACCCGAGCCGGGGCGGATTTCTTTCTCACTGATCTCAGCTTGACACCCAATTAGCACAAGAATGGGAGGAGGAAGCCTGCGAGAGGCGCCTCCCAGCCTCCCGGGGCGCACGAGGGGGCTGGCGGGAAGACAAAGGGCAGTGGGCAGGGGGGCACCCGCGCCCTCGCCTCCCCCTGCCGACCCCACCATTGTCCCTCTAGGAGCTTCAGAGGCGACGGAGGCCGACGTTGGGGATGGTCATCCCGACTGAGGGGACAGGGAGGGGCCCGAGTCCCTCTTCTGCGTGGATCCCGGGGGACAGCATCTGGGTGAGCCCAGCCCCAGGGGAGGCCGTGGTCAGTAAGCAGGGCAGGGACCCTAAAGAGAAGACACCCGGAGTGGAGACCCGACCTGGGGCTCCCTGGCAAGTCAGCGATTCTGAGCCTCCGTTTTCTCATTTAAAAACTGGGTTTAATAACAGTTCCCATGAGGAACCCGGCAGGTGATGCATGTAAAGCCTCCGGCAGGTACAGAATGGTGTTCAATAAAACCCTGCTGAGTGACTATGTTAAGCTATTGTTGTTACTGATGAAGAGGTCCAGTCTGGCCTGGGCCCGGGGGCTGGGGCTTAGAAGTGGGAGCTGGCAGCCAGAGTGCACTGATTTAGCCAGGAGTGAGGGGAGCTGGAGCCCCGCAGCCTGTTGGGAAAAGCAAAGGATTCCTGCTCCCCCAGGAAGGGAGACATGCCCCTGGCCTCCTGTGCCCTGTCCCTGCCCACAATGCTTTTGGGCTTAGGTGTGACTTCTTCCAGGAAGTCCTTCTGATTCCAAGCCTGGATTCAGGTCCTCTGACAGGGTCCATGGGGCCTGGGGCCCTGGGGCCCTGGGCCCTGCCATATTGACATGAGGGTCCCAGGTGGCTCCTTTTCATACTTTTGTCTCCTCTAAGAACATCAGCCCCTTGGCTGGTGGCACAAGAGGTTAAGTCTCAGCACTATGAAGCACTGGCAGCCACCTGGCCAGGGAGTGACCCACAGGGTGCAGCACACCCCTCCTGTCTCCTGCTGCTCCCCTCAGCAGTGTGTTTCAGCTAATCCACCTGTTCTGCTCCCAACTCTGTCTCTGGTGACTCCTCCCACCCCACACCTCTGGCCTGTACCCCAGTTCTATATGCATAAATAAATCTTAAAAACAAATACCAGCCCCACCTGAAGGCTGGGCCCACTGGTTTTGCTACATCCCCAGTAGCACTGCACCCTAAAAGGTGCTCAGTGAGTTCTCGCAAGTGGTCAAGCTCTTCAAACGCTCTCAGCTGTCCCTGTGGCAGTCCGGGGGGTAGACAGCTCCCCACACAAGGTTTTCTAGGGAGGTAGAGAGAAGCCATTAAATGGCTCTGAGCAGGTGGGGAAGTGATTCTGTAGTCGCTGGCTTCCTTGCCAAGCACTTACCTAACTCCATGACCTACAAAGCGCCATGAAAGGTGTGTCAGGAAAGATTCCTGCCCGGGAGGAGCCAGTGGAAGGAGCTTAAAATATTTTCCTTAGAGGACTTTTAAGTGGCCACTCAGTTCCAGACCTTCGCAGGCTGGGAACACAGTTCCTGAGTGGGCAGTGAATACCCACGCTGGGCAGAGAGAGCGGGTCCTTCCATTTACCCAGGATTCCATTGCCCACTTGGAGGCCCAGAGCTGTGTCTCATTTGTCCTTGTTTTCCTGGTACATTGAAGGGATTCAGCTATCCTGGAATTAAGTTAGAGATTGAAGCCAGAACCAGAGAGGGGGAGACAGAAATTTGCAGGCCAGAGAAGTAGGTGTAGGTGAGAGGTGATTTATCCAGGACTGAGCTCCCAGCCTCTGGGGCTGATGGAGGAAAAGAATAGGAAATCTGAGGGTGACATCACAAGGTTAAAACCTGACTGATGCAAGGAGGTGGGGGCAGAAGAAACTCACATGACCATTAACCCAGTCACAGAGACTGTTGTATCAGACTGCTGTAGGGAATACCGGAAGCACAGGCTACCCCACACAGGAGTGGGCCCTCCCGCAGAGCAAAGGACTCTGCCAGGGCCGCACCTGCACTGGCTGGGGCAGCGGTCCTCTGCCCACGCGCTCTCCCTCCGCAGGGCGGCAGCCTCCTGCCTGCCTGTGACCTGCACCACACGGGGGCTTCTCTGCCCGGACCCCTCAGCAGGGGCCGCTCTCCTAAGGCCGCCCGCCTGGACCACGCAGGCCTCTCTCTGCAAACTTGTCCCTTCCGGGGCAGCTCTCTCTGCCTGCTTGTGCCTAGGCAAGTGTCCCTTACTCCTCGGTCCTGTTCCCTCATGAACCTGCTCTGCAAGTATAACTGAGTCTCTGTCTCGCGGAGAAACTCACCTGGGGAACTCGCCGCATGCCACTGAAAGGGGACCTCTAGGGACACTTTTCCCAGAGTGAACCCAAGGACCCCGAATTCCAAAAAAAATCAACATCAGGGCTCTGCAATTAGCAGCTGAAGAACACACCTAATTAACTCTACTCAGGGATGGCAGAGAATTTGGGATTCCAAATTCTGCTTAGAAAGCAGACTAGGGCCCTCCCTAGTGGCCCAATGGGTTAAAGTACAGCCCTACAAGCTTGCAGCAGCCACTTCAGTGGGAGTTCAATTCCTGGCCCTGGACGTGACCCATGTGGCGCGGCATACCTCTCCTGACCCACCCACTGCTCCCCTCAAGAGTGTGCTTCATCTCTCTAATTGTTCAGCTGTCCACTGTGTCTCTAGTGAATCCTCTCTCAGCCCCTGAACCTTTGGCCTGTACCCCAGTTCTATATGCATAAGTAAATAAATCTTAAAAAAATAAAAAGGTAGACTAATCCAAGTATGATGACTAGAAGGGGAGGGAATTGAGAACAATGCTGCAGGCACTGTTTCAGTGAGTGACAGGGGGACCCTACTAAGATAGGGGACACCGGCAAGCCTGGAGGGAGGCACAGCGCCAAGAACTGATCTGGTCCTCACTACAATCCCCACCTTATAGACGACTGCTACAGGACCTGCACAAAGACTCAGCGGGGAAGTGGTGGGAGCTGGATCTTATGCAGTTGACCTGTTAACCATTACCTCATTCTGCCCTGAAACAACAGGTTACTGCACCATACTCTAGCTATGTCAAGTTGAATTTATACGTGTTGCGGTATAGGTATACTTGGTTGCATTTCTGCCCTGGGCTTTTGTTAACCTACTGCAGCCAGAAAGGGATTTTTTTTTTTAAATATTTACGTATGCATACAAGATCTAGGGTGTAGGCTTGAGGTGCAGGGGGTGAAAGGATTCATCAGAGACAGAATGGAGAGCAGAACAGGCAAATGTACTGAAATACACTGCTAAAGGGAGCAGTGGGCGGGTCAGGAGAGGTCTGCTGCACCATGTGGGCCACCTCCCTGGACGGGTATTAAATTTATGCTGCAGTGACTGTGGCTAGCTGGCTTCATAGTGCTGCACTTAAGCAGTTGGGCCACCAGGGAGGGCCCAAGGTTTTCATTTTAAAGATGTGTTTTATTTATTTATGCATACAAGAACTGGGGTGTAGGCCAGAGGTGCAAGGGATGAGAGGATTCACCAGAGACCGAGTTGGGAGCAGAACAGGCAGATCCACTGAAATACACGGCCAAGGGGGAACAGCCTGAGAGACCTGGCCAGGAGGGAACTCAGGCCACAGTGACTGGCTTATCTTGTCAGTGCTGAGACTTTAACCCTTGCACCCCCAGGGAGGCCCTGATTGCTTATTTGCTACAAATTTAGTTTGCCCTTACCAGTCTGTGAGTGCCCTAAAGGCAGGGACCGTGCCTAAGAGTTCAGCACCAATCAAGAGAACGTGCGATCCAAGTCGACAGTGAAAGGGTGACTGGAGAGCGAGTCCCAAGCTCAGGTGAGAAATTTCTGGACTGTATATAAAGATTTGGGATCAATGTTAACTTAAGTCAAGACGCGTGGACAGGCTGGCTAAGCCCAGTGCCGACTGTGACATCTGTAACCAAGTCAAGATAAACTGCAACGTGCCTCTCAGCCACTGTACAAAGCCGAGACGCCTCCCCCAGCCCGATCGGGTTCACTGCACGAAGCCCACCGTGGCTCTCCGAGGCCAGTCCCGAAAATGCAGCGAGTGGCCCCGCTCAAATAGCCCTTCCCTGCCATCCTCCAATAGCTGAGAAGAATGATTTCCAGGGTCCCGCCTCTTCCGGCCGCGACGACAGGAAGTGGTGCTGGCGCGCCGGAAGTTGAAAGAGTTTCCCGTGAGCTTGCCTTCCTCAACATGGCAGCGCCCTTGTCAGTGGAAGTGGAGTTCGGGTGAGTCACAGAGCTGGGGCGCCGTGGGGATGGAGTGAACCCCTCGTGTCCAGAACTCCCCTTCTCTGCCTTGGAGCTTGTGGCGACCGAATCGCCGTGGCTCTCGGCGCCTTGCCTGAGCTGTGATTTCCGCCTCAGAGTCTCAGGGACTCGGTCTCCCTTGGCGACGAGGCCGTATGTCCGGAAATAGCGGCGCACGCCGCGGCAGGGAGGTGCGTTCTAATCACCCCCTCTCCGTGCCTTAGACCCCGCCTTGACCTTCAGTGCCAGGCCCGTTTCGGAGACTGTATGTCGGACATCTGCGCTTCGCGACCCGAGATGGGCCCCCCTTCACCCCCTGATGCCGCCCTTTGGGGCGCGTTTACACTTAGCCGTTCTTGGGGCCTTGATTCTCGTGGATGTGTGAACAAGACGGGACTCCCTTCTCTTTCTTCAAATTTGTGGGTGTTCAGTAGACCTGAGGTCCTTCCGGAACATTCAGTAAACTTGGTGACTGCCCTCTGCAGATCTTGAGTCAATGGGCGACACGGGGGAAACAACAACACATTATAGGGGACCAACTCTGACGTGCAGTAATGCGGGAATTGGGGCGCGCACACCAGTAACGGAGAAACAGATCCGGGAGGAAGTCTCACGGTTTTCTGCCTCTTGCTGACAGTGTCATGATTTCAAAACTGAGAGAAATTGTCCATCTTAGGGAGAAGGCCAGGAAACAGACCCGGAGGGAGTCACATGGAAACAACAGAGAGAGTGTGTGTGTGGTGTCGTGTCAGTGTAGAAAATCGGAAAACTCTCGGCTGGGAATCTCAAACGTCTGCCCATGACCGCCTTTCCTTCCACTGTATGCCCCCAGTTTCTTCCATGTTTTCCGTCCCGGGGTGGCTCGTGCACCAGTCATTTACTGTGTGCCTACCATGTGCCCGCAGTGAGCTGGGCACCGAGGGTACAAACATAAATGGAACTCTGTCCACACCCTCCATTTCTAAACCTTGAAAAAGGGAGTTGTGGCACGAATGGTCAGTACACTTCAATTGGCGACTTTGTTGTCTGCATCCCTTAGAACCATCCTGGTCAGGCCACTTGACCCTTCTTCACTGACTCTTGACTCAGTTATACCCCACATAACCTGGGGTTTCTAGACGGACCCTGGCTGCAGATTGCCCGTGTTAAGGCTTATCTGCCATCCCTTATCTTTCATTTTCACTGTGCCAAGCAAGGTGTTTGCAGTGGAGGCGTGTGCAGGAGATACTGTTCTTGCCCTCCAGAGCTTACACGCTAGCTTTATTACCCCTTCTCTGACTTGACCATCTCCAGCCTCAGCCTCCTAACCCCTAACCCCCAAGGGCAACTGTGGGTCATAGCAAGACAGGACAGCACTCCCCCGCCACCTGCCCACCTCCTAACCCCTGCCAACAGTGTCCCATGAGAGTTGTGGCTTCTCAGGCAAGAATGCCTCGGACGCGTGCCGACTCCTCTGGTCTTGCTCAATGCATGTTTTGCCCTTCATTTCCTGCGTGTTCACTCTGCACCTGAGCAGACTTACGAAGAGAGGGCCTTGAAGTGCGGGCTTGGAGGACACCCCTTTCCTGAGCACATGTGGTCCTCTGGCTTCACCAGCGCCGACAAAGTCCCTAGAAGACTGCTCAGCCTTCCTGCCGCATGTCAGTGGCCAGCCCAGCCATTCTGTCTTGCCTCCTCGGCTGTCCTTACGGCGCTTTCTCGGGTCACGCAGAAATCAGAGTCTATACAGCAGACTTGTTTTGTGGCCTTGCAGCCCAGATCCCTCTTCCTAGTGCCACTGAGGTCAGAGAAGTAGGAGAAATGGGCTTTCTCATTAATTTGGCGAATATTTCCTGAGTGTTTACTGTGTGCCCGGCCCTGGTTTAGATGGTGGGGTGGGGGAGAGTCAGTAAAATAGAAATAAAATATAGAGGACAAGCAAATGAAGATCAGTTACAAAAAGTGAAGGCAGTTTGGGGACCGTCCGTACCAGTCTGGGTACCAGGAAGTGGAGTGGGGAAAGTGACGTGTCCTTGGGTAGGATCCCTAGTTGGGTTTGAAGAGGAGGGGGCCTGGCTTTGGTCCTTCCCTGGGGCCACCCAGCTCCCTTGCCTGCCTCCCCGCATCACCCCAGAGGCTGGGCCTGCATCTTCTTCCATCCAGATGTGCTGACAGAACTGCCAGCTCCTCCCGCGGGGCTATACCGAGGTCACTCTGGGCCAGACTGGCTCTCCCTGTATCTGCTTGTGAAGGGAAAGGCAGCCTGGGCCTCTGAGCCTGGCACTGCCAGGGCTGGCCTCTCTGGCTTGTCTGCCTGGGTCTCAGTGGCGCCGGTTCCCACTCCTCTCCTCTGACCCCCAACTCCTGAGCCCCCTGCCTCCACCCTCCCCCACCCCAGCTGCCTCATGTGCCAGCCCCCACCCAGGAGAGAACGGGCCTCTTGGAAGGGGATAAATGGAGGCTCTGTGCGGGTTCGCAGCTGAAATGGCCCTGTGCGCGGCCACAGATGGGCCCCTCTCCCCCTCCACATTTCTGCGTCAACAAAGCGTGACCTGTTTGGATGACAGTCGCCCCATGTTTCCCCCGTGACAATGCTCGCCTTGCCTTTGCCTCCCAGCGGACTGGCTGAGGACACCTCTGTTCTTTGAATTTGGGGAAGGGCCGTGGGGTGGGAGGCATTGAGGCCGTCGAGTTTGTTACTGCCTTTTTAGTTAAGAGCCATGTGAGTCTGAGCTGGGGTCAGGAGGCCCAGGGAGAAAAGGGGTGCAGGCCCGATGGCCGCCTCATAGACTCTGGCTTCCGGATGTGGCTCCCAGCATCCCTGCTGTCCTCGCCTGGGCCAGGCTCTGGCCCACAGATGTGAACAAAACTCTGCCCTCTGGGGGCTTTCAGACCTCTGGGAAGTCTGGGTGTTTGTTTTGTTTTGTGTGTGTGTGCCCCTGCAAAGGCCGCTGGCATTGAGCAGAAACCAGTTAGAATTCAAACCCCAGTGCAGCCATTGCCTGTCTCACCTTGGTCTAGTCTCTTAACCTGCTGGCCTCAGTCAGCTTCTCCCTGGGAGGTGTTAACACTGCCTCCTTCTGCACCCCTCACTGGGATGCCGTGAGGCGGGGGGTGAATGGCAAGGTTATTGCTAGGCTTGGAGAAATCTCCCTCCTTCTCAGATGTGTCCTCCAGGCCAGCCCTGGGTGGACAGATGAGTTTTTTCTTTAGTTTTTTAATTTAATTTAATGTACTTATTTATGCACACAGAGCTGGGTGTAGGTCAGAGGTGTTGTGGAGGCGGGGTGGCAGTGTGAGAGGATTCACCAGAAACAGGAGCAGAACAGGAGGATCCACTGAATACACTCCTGAGGGCACAGCAGAGAGACAGGAGAGGTCTGTTGTGCCCTGTGGATCCCTCCCTGGCCGGGGATCGAACCCGTGCTGCAGTGGCTGCTGATGGTTTCACAGTGCTGTGCTGTAACCTGTTGCGCCACCAGAGAGGGCCCATAAGCAAAGCTTATTCTTATTTGCCTGCCAGACTGTCACATTTGGTACCCCAGATGATCCTGGACCTTGGCCTCTGCATCGCTGGGGGCCCCGCCCTGCCCTTGGTGTGCGTCAGCCACCTCCTGTTTGCAGACGCTCACCTGGCTCTTCTCTGCCTTCCTTTCCAGAGGCGGCGCGGAGCTCCTGTTTGATGGTGTGAAGAAGCATCAGGTCACCTTGCCCCAACAGGAGGAGCCCTGTGAGTATGCACTGTGTGAACCCCTCCGGGGACCACTGTGCCAGAGTCCGCTGGAGTCACTCAAGCTCCAGGTTCTGGCTTCAGATTGACTTGACTAGAGATCCCCGGAGAACCTCAGGCCTGTGGCCTTGCCTGCCCCACGAGGTGGGGTTGGGAGGCTGTCCCAGCAACGGCTGAGAGCAGGAAGCAAGCTGCGCCTCGCCATTCCGCTATGGCTAGGTGGCAGCAGAGACAAGGTCTCACGAAGGCAGCAACTCCCCAAGAAAGAAGCTGGCGAGGGGCTCCCCACCTGGGGATCTGAGAGTGAGCCTGCCAGAGGCGCTGGAGGGGCTGACTGAGGTAGACAGCAGGTTTCTCCGTTGCTCGTCGCAGCACTTGTCCGTCTTTTTTTTCTTTAAGATTTATTTATTTGTGCACACAGAACTGGGGTACAGGCCAGAGGCTCAGGGGCGGCGAGAGGCTTCACCAGAGACAGAGTGGGGAGCAGAACAGGCAGATCGATCAAGTATACTGCTGGAGGGAGCAGCGGGCGGGTCAGGAGAGGTCTGCTGCACCATGTGGTCACCTCCGGGGCAGGCGGGGATCGAACTCATGCAGAAGCGGCTTTAGCTTCTCAGTGCTGTGCTCTAACCCGCTGCGCCATCAAGGAAGGCCTGTCCGTCTTTCTTTAGCCAAGGAACACGGAGGACCTTCTGGGTGGCAGACCAGGTACCGGGCACTGGGGCGACCATGGCCCAGAGCCAATTCCTTCCCAAATCCCGGCTTTTGAAAAGTTACCCTTCCGCTGTGAATAGCAGCCTGGCCTAGGGGCAAGGCAGAGACCCCTCTGGGGGGCTGTGTGCCCCCGGAGCACTCAGGATGGGTGCTCTCTCCACTGAGGGCCAAGGGGCTCCTGGGGAGAAAGGAAACGGTGGCTGTAGGAAGTGGAACAGTGAGTTTCCTGGAGGTGGGGGGCCTCCCGCTGCAGTAGAAACTAGTCAAGTGAGGTGTGACAGGATTCTTCTGGAACGCAACACAGCTGCTGCCAGGAATCAAACAAGTGCCCAAATTCACTGGCTGCCACACTGTCCAGGCCCCCCTTGGGAGGAGAACGGTGTGCCGCCCTCAGGCTGGGAGACGCTCCCCAGGAGTTGAATGCTGCTCCCTTGCTCTGGGCTGGGCATGTGGCTGTGGGCTGAACTCTCAGTCCGGGGGGGTGACCTTGCCTCTAGTGGGGGTGAGAAAAGTGGCTGCTTCTTTGACAGCTGGCCTGCAGCCGGGAGGGGACTGGCCATCAGAAGGCCCCGAGATTCAGCCTAGGACGCCCAGGCGGCAAGTTTATTAAAACATCACAAGTTCTGATTCGTTTCCACGAATTTAATCATCCCAGCCCTTTTCCTTCATTGTTAGCTGAGTGCTCACTGGTGCCAGGGTTGGTAGTGCATGCTTTATCTTTCATGTGGTTGGCACGTACTGCGTTCCTAAAGGCCTCCTTTGTGCCAGGCACTGTACCAATTGGGTCAGTGCGACCCAAGCAGACTGCGGACTTGCCCTCCAGGGACTTGCAGTGTGATGGGGGTGGCCTCATACGCGAGGAGGGGCCCAGTAGCTGCTGTTATTATTCCCCCTCAGAGGCCCGTGGGTCTTACCCCTGCTCAGCAGCTGTTTAAACGGCAGCCCGGCACAAGGAACCATATTTGAGGGCCTCCAAGGTCCTTCCTGTTGCCATTTATCCCAAGAAGCTCCCCAGATTGCCCAGCGTCTCAGACCTGTAGTGTATTTTCCAGTGTTTATGTTTTCATTCATTTACTCACACCTTCAACAGCTACTTATTTTAATTTTCAAAATGATCCCAGGGCCCTCCTTGGTGGCGCAAAAGGTTAAAGCGCAGCACTATGAAGCTGTCTGCAGCCACTTGCAGCACAAATTCGGTCCCTGGCCAGGGAGTGACCCACATGGCGCGGCAGACCTCTCCTGACCCGCCCACTGCTCCCCTCACCGGTGTACTTCGTTGACCTGCCTGTTCTGTTCTGCTCCCCACTCTGTCTCTGTGTATACTTTCACCACCACCACCCCTTGCACCTCTGCCCTGTACCCCAGTTCTTATGTGCACAAATAAATAAATCTTTATAAACAAACCATGATAAAAATAAAAGATGACCCTACTCAGCATTATCAATTATCAGGGATCTCATCCTCAGCCAATGTAACATGCCCAGTCACTCAGATCGTGGGGCTAAGGCCCCCAGGATTTTGATCCTCAGCCTCATTGGGGGTTGGGTGGCGGCCTCTCCTTTCACTCTGGCGTGAAATGGTGAAAGCAGAGGAGGCCGCTGTGGCCCCTTGTCCATCTCCGGGCCTCGACTGGGACCTCTACATGGGACTCCTCGCCCTGCTCTTCTCAGGCCACATCGCAGCCAGGAGACTTAGCTGCCAGGCTTACTCGGCACCGGAGCGCGGCCTGTCTTACTCGCCCTCCTCCCAGCCAGCGGTCTGTCACCTGGCAGCCTTCCCAGACCAGGGGCTGCCGCTTGGCCGAACAGGTCTTGGCGACTTCGGCAGGGAAAATAGCAGCCTTAGGACTGTGGATTGTGACAAGTCTCAAAAACAAAGGGGCTCCAGCCTAGTCCTGGGCCAGGGGAGGCTTCCAGCCCGGCCAAAGCAGTATGCGGGCGCGGGTCACCTCCCCCTGTAGGCCCTGTTTCCCCAGCTGTGAGGTGGGAGGCCGGGCTGGCTACCTGTGTGACATCCAGGGTTGCTTCCAGATCTGAGTGTGTGCAGGTCCATGACGCAAGGCATGTTGATCCAGTAAGAAGTTGTGGGGTCGGGGGTGTAGTGCTGGCGGGTGCTTAACAGTCAGTGCCGGGAGCAGGCAGCTCCTTGACGGGCAGGGTGGGAGGTGCCCACCTGTCTGGGACAGAGAGGCCTTGGCAATGGGCCTTTATGCTTCAAGGACCCCTTTAGCTCCAAGCTCCCACCCTGAGGCTGATCAGCGGCCTGAAGCAAGCCCAGAGTGTTTGGGAACAGGCTATCCATGCATGGGCAGTACCTGCCCTGGCCCCCAGGAGGAAGTGGGTCTACTTCACCTCTGCCTGCCCCTCAGAGGCAGTCTGGAAGGTGGCTGGGGAGGGAGGGCAGGCGCTTCCAGCAAGCTCCTGGGCTCTTTAAACTGCTTAGCATGCATTTCACAGCCGCCTGGGCCAGCTGTTCCTTTCTCTGCTCTGCGGCCTGTTTGCTGATCCCCTCCAGCACCTCCCTTCTCTCCTCCCACCCCTCCCAGCCCCTGTGCAAAATTGCTTTTGAAAAGATCCACTTTCTGCTTAATTAAACAATGAGGAGCGTCCCCTCACACATCTGTAAACCTCCTTCTGAGGCCAGTTTAGCCCACAAACTGCTCCTTTCTTCCCCCCATTCACTTGTAAATGGCCCCTCTGATGTTCCTCTACCCCCTCTTCTCTTCTCTTTTACTCCCCCCACCCCAGTTCTTTCTTCTCCCTGTTCAAGGAAGGCCTGGGGTGGACTCCCAGAAGAGGAGCCCTGAGCATGGTGGACTGGGTGAGGACCTGCACAGCAGGCTCAGAGAAGGCGCCAGGTCTGAGGGCCGGGCCCCAGTGAGCGCCAGCAAGGGGACCCGCCCCGGCTTGTGCGCGGGACTGAGGGCCCACGGCCTTCTCACAGGAGATGTGCACTTTTCTCTCCCACACCCTAAGAGGCTAAGGGCTGGAATTGGCACCTTTGGGGGCTTTGCCAACAGCCGAGGACAAAGCCACGGTGAGAGGCAGCCAGGTGTCCTTTGCCAGCGGCCTGGGGAGAGGACCCCAAGTCACTGTGGGCAAAGGGCCCTTCTTCCTGTGAGTTGACCTCTGCCATGCCCCAGGCTAGTTTCTGCCTGGACATCCCAGCAGTTCTTTGGGGTTTGTGTTTCTTTCTCCATTTGCTCAGGGTGATAGAAGAGAAATGGCACTGTCACCACCAGTAAAAAAAGTAATGCCCAGCTCATGTCCACTGTCCCCCAGCCCTGACGTATAGTAGTTGCTCAATAAATATTTGTCGTGTAAGTAAGGGCCTGGGACCCTAGCCAGCAGAGTTCCCTCCCTGGGCCAGGAGGCAAGCAGGCCTAGGGAGTAAGTGTGAGGTGCCCTGCCCACCTCTACCAGAGCCTCCCAGACTGCTAGCCCCACGCTGCTGCTGAACCCTCCTCCCGGCCTTTGGAAGCCCACCATCTGGCTTGGAGGCTATTTGCATATCGTCTGGGCCTCCCAAGCCTAGCAGGATGTCCCAGGGGGTGTGTTTCAGGCCAGGCCTAGTGGCCCTTGCAGCCTGCGAAGGGAGCCAGAGTTCCACCTCTCCCCACCCCCAAATCCAGGCATGGGGGAACAATACGGTGGTGATGAGGGGGCCTCACCATGGTAACAGGCTATCAAGAATGTGGGCAGGCCTGGGGGTGTAGAGGAGGGAGGGAATGACCTCAGCGAAGAGGAGCATCATGATAAATGAGCCGCCTGCCGCGACTCACCCCCAGCCCATCCCTCTGGGACTCCAGGACGGTGCCTGCCGTGGCTGGGGTGACCCTCCGTGACCGCAAGCCTCTGCTAACCCTGCCTGTCCAGAGGGGAGCAGAAATCTTTGGGGGAGCCAGGTTTGGTAACCCATGGGGTCCCACTCTGCAGGGGCGGCCAACGGTGGCCCACAGGCCAGACAGAGCCCTGTCCTCACAGAGTCTCAGTGCACACAGCCCGACCCCGCCCGCCAGCGCTGGCTGATGAATGTGTCAGACCCCGGCGGCTCTATCGAGCGGCCACAAGATGTATGGGCTGGCGGCCCACCAGACAGTGCCAAGATGGAGGCCCAGGGGAAGCCTCTGAAGCCTGGGCCTCGGGGGCATCCAGCCAGAGTCCGGATGGAGGGCCTTTGGTCAGAGGCGGCGTTCCTCCCTCTGCCCACTCCCGGGCCTCGAGGATGCTAGTCTGCTTTTGGGTAAAAAGTAGGCATTAAAACTAGAAGGCAAAGGCTCGGCCCCTGGGCACTGTGCCCCTGGCCCTGTGCTCTGCTGGTGTGCCATCCAGGAGAGTCGGCACAGGGCAGAGCAAATCAGCCCATCGTGGGCAGGCGTACTGAAGTCTAGCTTCCTTCCTGCCCCAGCAGTGCCCAGTGTGCCCACGGCGGGGGAGGGCCTTCAGGCTGCAGGGCCCGAGCGGCAGTCAAGCTGACCCTCTCATCCCTGGCCGAGTACCTGGACGCTGAGTCAGGCCAGACACCCGAAGTGCTGCCAGGGCCCTTCTCCAGCTCAGCCAGTCCTGGGCCAGGGCAGTGGACCCCCCTGGCCCATCCACGTGGGGCCCGGCGAGCCCCGCTGCCTTCCAGGGACTGGTTTGGCTGCAGACCTTATGTCTGCAAGTGTCAGGGAGAGAAGCAACTCCCGCACCTCAGGCTGCTAACGGGCACAAAACTGACAGGCAGAGGTTCCAAGGAGTTTCTAGGGGCAGGTCCCAGCGTGCCGTGGCCCTGGGAACTTGCTTTTCAGAAAAGGAGAGGGGCTTCTGGGGACAGGTGGTTCTGAGCCAGACACGACGGGCTGAGCGTGTGGCCCAGAGCCACAGAGACCGAGCCCAGTGACAGGTGAACGGGGCCACCCTTTCGACCCCGAGCCTCTTGTCTCTTTGGGGTTGTCAGCCCCTGGTTCGAGTGGTGGGGTGCTCTGTGAAGGGGGAATGGCGGCTAGTGATTTGTCAGCGTCTCTGGCTAGTGAAGGATCCTTCTCTCCCTCTGCCAGAGGAAATTAACTGATGCTATCGGCTCAGTGATTGTTTTTCTTCCCTCACAAAGGGAAATATATGCAGACCCCTCCCAGAGCAGAGCCTGCTCCCCATCTGGGACTGGCTGGAGAGATAAAGGTGGAGGGGCTCCTGCAGGCCCATCGGGAGCCTGTCATCTTCTGGCACAGAGGGTGAGGCTCTCTCCCCCCTTTCCCATGGGACAGTCCCTCCTGCTGCCCTCCTTGAGTCCCCTTGCCACCCCTGCAAGCCATTAGCACCCAGGTGCCACGCTCTGCAGGGCTGACGTGTCACTCGCCTCTCCCACCCATTTGCCACGCTCTGCAGGCCTGACGTGTCACTCGCCTCTCCCACCCATTTGCTCACTGCGCACCCACACATGCAAGGGTTGTGTCATAAAGGCCCTGTTAGGCCCACGTCCATGTCCTTCCGGTCCAGGCGAGGCTCGGGAGGCCAGAGCCTTTTGGGTTTGACGAGAGTGTGTTCTGTCTTACTCTGCAGGGGACATCCGGAACCTCCTCGTTTGGATCAAGAAGAACTTGCTGAAGGAGCGGCCAGAGTTGTTCATCCAGGGAGACAGTGTGTGAGTGCCTCGCTTCCCTTCCCTGAGGGTGGGTGTGGGGAGGAGGTTGGGATCTCTTGCAGGGTGCAGCCTTCCCTAGCCTGTTCTCCCGTCAAGCATCCTCTCACCCCACCAGGGAGAACACTTTGGTCCACCTCTGTAGAGGTTTATTTCTGTTTTCTCGTTGCCATACTCGATGTTGGTGGGGCTTTAAAAGCCTGGGTAACAGGGGACTTGGGGTCTACCTCTGGCTGCCACAGACTGTTCTCAGGCCCTTAGGTAAACCACTTCCTTGTGTGACCTCAGCTCCCATCTCAGGCAGAAAGGAAGACAGAGTGATGCTTCCCAAGGCACCTTTTATCCCTTGGCAATCTGGGGCTCACTCTTGCTCTCCTAAAGAACATTCTGGGTAATGGAAATGTTCTGTGTCTGTGCTGGCCATGTGGCAGCTGCCAGGCCCTTGGGGCTGCTGAGCCCTTGAAGTGTGGCTCTCGTGACTGAGAAACTAAAGATCAATTTTATTTCATTTTAGCTGAAATGAGACTAGTAGATACTGAATAGCACAGGGGAGTCACACACACAGACACCTGCCCCCCAGTATAAAGCTAAGCCCGGGCCCAGGCCCAGCTCTGCCTCCTAGGAAAGGAGCCAAGTTTCACATGCCAGGAAGTCACTTCCAAAGCAAGGCTGGCCGCGCGTGCCGGAGGCCGACGGGGCGCTTGTGGGGCTCAGACTGCTGTTCAGCCTCTGGCTCCCCCAAACACAGGGAGGCCACCCCCTGACACCACAGTGCTCCTGGGGCTGCTGGTGGAGCCAGGCGCGGTGTTAGCCTGCCCCACCCTACGCCCCAGGCTGCTCTGGAGGCCTTGCAAGGTTAGACCCCTGGGAAAGTGCTCACGTCACCCCCACAGACCCTTTCCCAGTAGGCATCTCACATGCACACCCCTTCGTCCTCCACACATTTTGGGAGGATGGACGTCATCCCCTTTGTAGAAGAGGAAACTGATGCTCGGAGAGACCATATGGGAGGTGGCACCAGAATCTGCACCCACTTCCCCCAGCCCCCACACCATGACTGTCTGCCCTGGTTCCTTTATGCTGACTTGTCGCATCCACTTCTGAGGGGACTTTCCCCCCAGATCTGCCTCAGAAAAGAGGCTCCCAAATGGTTAGGCTGAGCCCCCCCCACCCCCCTCTGCCCCGGCCTCCGCTCCCCACTGCTCACCACCGTCTTCCCCACAGGCGGCCAGGGATTCTGGTGCTGATTAACGATGCCGACTGGGAATTGCTGGTCAGTACCTGGGGGTCCCCCTGCCCCCATCCCCCGCCTCTTGGTCCCCTCCTCAGCTCCTCAGGCTGGTTGGCTAGTCCTCTGTCCTGCTCTGGCTCCAGAACGAGGCTGCTTGAGTCTCCTGCCCGAGTCAGGAGGAAATGCAGCGCTGGGGAGCTTGCCACCCTCCCAGAGATGTGCCAGCTCATGGGCAGGGCACCCATTTTTCCAGTAGCTTCTGTCTTTCCCAGGACAGCCACCCCTCCCCATCCCCAGCACCTGGGTGAAGCTGGAGAGGCACCCTGACCGTCTCCTTTCTCTCCTGGGCCAGGGGGAGCTGGACTACCAGCTGCAGGACCAAGACAGCGTCCTCTTCATCTCCACGCTGCACGGCGGCTAGCCCCCAACTCCTGGTCCGGGGGGGGGGGGGGGGGCCGGCAGCCGGTCCCTGGGGCCTCCCGGGCTCTGCCTGTCCCCCGGCTGCTGGCTTCCCTGCTCTGTCCCCAAGCTCCCGCCAGGCAGGGAAAAGAGGCCAGGTGCTAAAAATGGGCCTTTCTCCCGTTAGCAGGGCGGGGGGCAGGCTGGTGTCCCTGCTCTCACTGCAGCTGAAGGGGGGGAGGCCACCCCTCGGTTTGTCGCGGGGGAGTGCTCTGTGGCTGGGTCACCTGGCCTTCTACCCTTGTGTCTCAACCTAAACACTGAGTGATCACTGGCAAGGCACTCTGCTCCAGACCCCAGCGTCTCCAAGGGAAGATGGATGGACCTGAATAACTGGCGGAAGCCCCGCCATCTCAGAGATTGAAGGAGTCTCCGCCTCAGTTTCCCCATCTGGAGAGCAGAGGGCTCTGTGTGTCCCCCACTGATATCATTATGGAACCCCAGCTGGGGTCCCCTATTCAAGGCTGGCCCCCTCCCCCCCATCCAGCAGCTGTTCTTCCAACCACACCCCTCCTCCTGCTCCCCCCATCCCCAGCCCTTGACCCTGGCCGGCCTCCCCTACACACAGGCCACCAGATGGGCTCCTGAGACCCTCCCCCAGCAAAGGCTGCGGCAGCTCCTGCGGATGTGGCAAGAGGGAGGGTGTGTGCTCTACCTTGGACTGGCAGATAGAGGCCTGCGTGCCTCCGTTTCCTCCTCTGCAGCTGAACATGACTGCACCTCAAAGCCAGGGAGATACCTGAGGGCACAAATGTCAGCACCCCAGCCTGCCACCACCTGCAGGAAGCAGGATGAGGCCGGCGGCACCTGGCAGGCTAGACCTTTCTCGTCCCTCCATCCTTCCTGGAGTCTTGGGGGCCTCACTGCCTGCCACAGCTGGCCTTGGGCAAATAAAAGACTAGGTTGTTTACTAGCCTTGCCTGGAACTTCCTAGAAACTAGTGGCACCCCACAGACCCCCAGGCCATGGTCTGTGGTCCAGTCTCTCTGTCCTCAGCCTCAACCCAAAAAGGAGACAGAGGCTGAAACCCAGACTGTCACAGAGGGGGTGATCTGATGGGGCCTCTGGAGAAGGGGAGGCAGAGAGGTCTGTGCGGACCAGCCTGGGGCCAGCACACTTCTCTGCCCACCGCTTGTCTGAGACCAGGCTTTGTCCCACAGCTGCAGCTCGCCCCAGAACCCAGAAGAGGGGGTTCCTATAAAATTGCTAAGTACCCCCTGAACTTCCCCTGACCTGGAGAAGAAGCTTTGTTTGGTGAAGGAAGACCTCATTTAAAAAAAAAAATTAGGGCGTGAGCCTCATCCCATGTAAACGCTGCTTTTCAGGAAGTGTCAACAGTTTGGGATGGAGTTTGTCCCACTCTGGAGGTGGAGGTGCCACGAGGTTGTCCCAGAAGCTGTGTGCTTCAGCCTCCAGGCTGAGGGCACTGAGCCCTCCACTGGTGAGCTCCCTCGGCAGGTGGGAGCCCCTGGATTTATGTGTAGGTGGGGCAGCCATGTTGGGAGCTGGCCAGCGGGTTGGGGTCCAGGTATCTAGACGCCCTCTGACCGCCTTGAACCGCACTAGGTGTTGGGTTCCTGGACGCTGCTGGGAACAGAGCAGGGCACTTGAGCTCGCTCCCTGGAGCCTGACTTTTAGAGGATTGGCCAGTCCCCTGATTCTTGTAACCAGAGACCCTCCCTGCCCCCAGCCCCACTGAACTTCAGGAGTGGCCTGTCGTCCTGCACGGGTGTCCAGAGTCCTGGAAAGTGGGCTCTGGGGTCCCATCCCCAGCTGCACTGGGGCCGGGCAGGTAGCTGTGGGATTCGGGCTGTCCCTTTCTCCACCACAATCCTGTTAGAGGGGAGTAGGGCAGAAAGATGGGCTGGGAAACCAGATTGTTGGCGGCAGTGAGGTAGCCCAGTGCCTGGGCTGAAATTGGCCCAGCCACTCTCCACAGCATGTGGGGTCATTTTCAGCCAAGAGTTAGAGGGTCGGGGATAGGTGACCAGGGCCCGGCCCCAACAATACCCAACTATACCCAACTGACCCCCAGCTACTGATCCCCATTTTTGAGGAAATAAAGGAATAAACGAACCCCACTATCTCCGAAGATTTGTCTTTAATTGATAGGATTCGTTTGTCCAAGTTCTGTTTCCAAAGCCGCCTGGCTGCAGCGCCTCATTCCCGACCCTTCTCCGACTCCCCCAGCAGTGGCTGGCAGAGGCTCAGCCCCTGGGGTCTGTCTGGAGGTGCTGGTGGGAGGGCTCGCCCGGTTTATTGGGGACTTAGGGGTTGCTTTAGGCTTTCTGGTTTTCGGGGTTAGTTTAAAGCCAATTCAAAACGAGGTAGCAGCGCAATCTGCCGGCATCTTCTTTCGCCCGACTTGCTGCGGCTGGGTCCGAGCGCCGGCTCCCCGACCATATTCCGGCCGCTCCGCCACCTCCGTTCCCGGCCGAAATTTGAAAAAGGAAAAAAACGACGCCATCGACTGGAGGACCCCGCCAGCCAGGACTGGTCACCCGCAGAGGAGGAGGAGAAGGAGCAGGACGACGACAACGACGAAGCGGGTGGCGGCGCTGGCGCCAGGGACCGGCGTCCCTCCTTGGCGCGCCGGCGGCCCGGGCGCGATCCTCGAGCTGGGGCCAAGCAGCCGCCGCCCCCAGGGGTCTTGCCCGCGTCCAGTTCCGTCCCTGCACCCCCGCCCCTGTCGCACCGGGAGCTCAGCCACAGATGTCCAGCCACAATTCTCGGTTGGCCGCAGACTCGTACAAGAATTGCGTTTGGACAATCAGTGGCGAAGCCCCTGAGTTCGGGGCCCGGTCTCCTGCGAGGTTCCACTTCGCTCCTTCGGAAGCTCAGGACAGGAGATCTGCGGAGCTGCGCATCCAGCCGCCTCGCGGACCTCGGCAGTGGCGCCCATCCCGCGGTAAGGTGGACGAGCAGGCACGCGGGCCGACCCGGCGTGGGGATCCCCATCGTCCTGGCGTGGGTCTCCTTCGGTCGCGGCCCAGGGTCCCTAGAGTAGCCCGCGTTGGGTCTCGGCTTCGCCCCAGTCAGGAGAATCTCCTCTGTCAGGCCCGGGGAACCCCGACTCCCTTTCCCCGCCCCCAGCCGGGGCTCCTCGGGCTCGCCGGGAATCTGGAAAGCAGGAGCCCGCGGCCGGTGGCATTTCCGAGCCTGCGTCCGGCTGCCGG